TTTTTGAGGTATAGCACGTCGGCGACAATACAAAAAATAATTTTCTAGTGATTCCATTTCTCCGCAGAATGCGCAGAGGGGTGATATTGTCTGACCAGCTCTGTGTAGATACAGGTTTATGGGGGGGGGGCATGACATCGGAATTTAGTAATTAAAACTTCGCGCTTTCTGGACTGGCTCCAGTGGGGTCGTTTGTTTAACGCTCTTCTTCCTTTGTGTGCAGTCCTGGCTTACAGTTTGACCAAGAGAAACGCAAATGTACTCGTCCAGCGCTTCGTGTAAACTTATTCTTGAGTGAAGCTTTCGCGTTTTTTGTCATATATATAATGGCCGGCGCTCATCTCGTATGGAAGGTACAGATTTCGTCCGAGTGTTCCTCATATTGTTACAAGGTTTAGACTGACGCTAACAGGGAATAATGGGACATACCGAAAAAGGGCGCCTCAGACTGAAAGTGAGGAAGTTGACGTTGTTGGTGAGCTGTGTTGTGGCTGCGGACTGTCTATTGTTATTTCCACGTAACAATGTTTTGGCTTGGCGCACCTGTGCGACAAGGTACTTCACGGTATAATATTCGCAGCAAATTCATGCGTAAGCTTTTCATTAGTGCGGATTATACACGTACATGTGATAAAACGGTCTTCGCACACTTTGGCTTTAACGTTCGGTACTAAAAGACTACCTGTCACTGTGGCTCTCTTCACAGCCGTGGCCTATCCTATTTTTTTTTCTTCAATTCATGGAAATCGACACCGGCGGCTTTCACGCTCTAATCGGAGAGGTCAACGACTGAACAACCGAACGGGCGACCACGCGCCCACATCCCGAATAATCTGAGGCTTGCGATGAAGCGGTTCGCCGTCGTCAGGCTTTTCTCGAACCGGTAGCCGGCAGCAGACGGTGTATCCCACAATCCTTCGCTCTTTTACTGGTCACCTATTGCAGTCTATTCCGGCCACGGAGGAAGGAAAGGTAGGAAAGGCCCTGACGTCACTCGTTGTGAAGCCACGATGAAGCCGGAAGTCGGCCATATTGACTGGGCAAATTCTCCTGTCTTGTTTACATCCGAATGTAATGCAGAAGGCACGACTCTTTCTCCTGCTCGGAAAGCAGGTGAGCTGCGCAGCGTGTGTGTCGTCATGATCCGAAACTAATGGAACGGGGCTCAAAACTCTGGGCCAGCGCGACACCTTCGGCGAAATCATTTCGTCCGAGTATTAACAGCGAGCAACAGCTCACCGACAACGAAGCAAATACAAGAGAAAGCGCGCTGGGTGCACTGACATCGGCGAGTGTTTTCACGTCAACAGACAGTTACAGTGTACCGGGTTTACCGGGATACCGGAATCGAAGTGCGCATGCGCAGATACGTACGTTGCCCGTACCGCTTACCGTACGCGCGGTATTTTTCAGATTTAAGGTTACCGTGGTAGCGTAAGTGTACGTAGTGTATGTAAACATGGCGGCGCTCTCAGACACCCGCTTCGAAGTGATTTTGTGTAGTTGTTGAAAGATTCACCTTGTCCGCAGCAAACGACTTTTAAAGTGGTTTCGCTTGCCTTCAGTTAGCTTCGATGACCGAGTATTACGAATAAGTTGGCATAATTTTCGAGATAGCTTCCTATTTTGAACACGAGGCCTAACTACAAGATTGATGTAAACAAACCGGCAACATAATTTTTTTCGCGTTTGGTGCGTGGTTCATATTCATTTGCTTTTATTATCAGGAAAATAAGCTTGTAACAATGCTTCGCGCGGTGGCATAGGCAAACATTTTCGTTTTCGTTTCCTTTTCACTGTCTTCAACTTATTAACCATCCCACAGGTGGCGCCACCGTCCTAGCTGGCGCACGTAAACCACGTAGACGCTATCCCGTTAAACTATAAGACATATCCACAACGGCTGTTTGCTGCACGGTAACGCCATTCCATTAACCACCGCTATCACGTTAACCGTAAACTATAACTGTCTATTATTTTAGCAACTGCACAGACAACACGATCGGTCGTGCGCCTTCTACGATTGCATTCCGCCACGCGGCCGATGCAGCGCCCGGCCATTGTGTCCGTGCTCCGCGTGAAACTCACCGGCGTCAGCATTCTGCGACCGTGGTGACTTTGAGCATGGTGCAAGTGACACATTTGAGCGCGGTTGCTGTTACGTTGAGGTTACATGCAATGCGGGGGGAGAGTATACGAAGCGGTACAGAAAAGGTGTTTTTAATACGGACATGCAAGTTGTTACTGTACACACACAACACGAAACTACGAATGTGCACATGGTCCTCATTGTGTCTTGCTGGGTACAACAGTTTCGTTCATTGACACAAGCAGGAGCACTGCCCAACCGTCACAGACCTGCAAGGCGTTCGTCGTCTTTCCGCTTCGTCATGGTGCCCAACGCAATTTCGCTGAACACTTCAAATGCTTCATCCGCGTCATCCGCCGCACGACACATGGATATGCGCACGTTCTACGCTCTGTTCAGGCCCCGTGATGGACTAAAGGTTTTGTAAACGTTGCTAAGAGTACAGTAACTGCCAGGAGAACACTGCGTAACCAATAACACGGCGCAGAGCACGGATATATTGTCCGTCGCGGCTCATCACGAGACCTGGGGAAGCACACATGCCGCCGCCAGCCGCGGCCGCTCACTGCTAGACCAGCTCCACTGCGCAACACGTAACCATAACAACGCCTCCAATGTGCCCAGTGAATATGACCACCATGATGTCATTTACTCAACACTTTTCACGTAGTGCGCCGGCTGGGCATGCCCTCTCCTACCTTACCTTCCTCCGTGATCCTAGCCGTGCTTGCATTTGTGTAGTTTGCATGTTTCTTTACTATTTTCATTTCATTTATTCATTTCATTTATTTTATTTTCACCAAAACAGATACAATGGCAAAAAATGGGGGGACGGCAAAAAAGCTGCAGTTATTGCAGCTTGACTAAGCACCGTCCACCCTTACGTCAGCAATGACAGGGCAAAAACAAAATACAAGAATAAAATGAAAAACAAATAAAATAAAGCAAGTAATTAGGCAAAGTAAAATGACAGGCCAAGGTATACAAACAAAAAGGAATATTTCACAAACACATGAGCGCAATAACTCGCAGAGAGTGTATCATCGCTTTTGTACATAAGAAAAATACACAGTGAGGTTACACAAAAGAAATAAATAAAAAAAAAAGACGGCGCCATCATCCTACTACTGTGTCATCGCATCATTTGGGAGCGGGGCCGTGTGGCCAATCCGCCTGCTTGCTTGCGCCCCATCGTCCCTGTTTTCTGTTGCCTTGAGCCAACAAGTGGGCTTTATGTGACAGTCTCTTACTGCGATGCAACAGAGATCCACGAAACAGAAAGAAACAAAAGGCCAGGGGTTGTTGCAGCATGCAGTGGCGAGAGCGAGCTTACATCTCCCGACGGCTGAGTATTGTTACGTAATGGCGGCTCCCGAGTGGGTTTTAATGCATGGGCTCTATGGGCAGCTTTTCCCCTAGAGTCGGTATATCAACTCTATAACAGCAACTTAAGAATTTCCTGCCATGACATCCGAGATAACCGGTGCGGTTGCTTCAATCGGGCCCCACTAGATAGCGTGACCCATAGAGTTTCATACAATAATACCTAGACAGTAATCTTGGCTGTGATCGTGTACCCACATGAGAAATATGGGAAGCACAGGCTTCGGATTGCATAGCGTTAACTAGCGACTCTGTGTACAGTTCTTTTTTTACAGCTTTAGTTTCGTTCTTCGCGCAGCGCGGGAAGTGGGCTGCAGTGAGAAGCACTGAAGCAGTGCCTTTGTTGTTCGAAGAGACTGAAAACCGCTAGGTCTTTTGATTTGCTGCGACGTCGGAGCTTTACGAGTCGTATTTGGAAGTTTAAACGAAGCGTCGTGCACTCACCCCTGCGCATAGATGTAGCGTCTCATGGTAGTGCGGGATATTGCATCCAGTTCATGTTTTTTTTTCACGAGTGCGTCTTGCCTAAACTCGTTCGAATTAACTGCAAAACGACGACAAAACTAAGCAGACGCACCGTCATGCTCCATTGACTAGACTTCATAAGAAAACGACAGGTGCGTTGGGGCATAGGCAGACGCACCTGACATCGCAGCAGACGAAACGTTAAGTGTTTCTCACTTCATACTCTGCTGTTATTTACATAAATAGATTATGCGCACTCTAGAGCGAAGAAACAAGCGTGTTTGTTGTCGTGTGCAGTAGAAATATTTCATTATATCTTGATGCCGAATTTGGAACGCAATGGCAGAGCGATGCACCCCGTGGTGGTTAAATTTGTCGAGGTTTCACTTCTACCTTACATGTGCAAAACTTTTTTACGATTAAGTTTACGTACAAAAGAGTGAAACAAGTTTAAGTTGGATATAGTTTCATATTACTTTGTTTTATACTGGGCAAGCTAGCATTGCGAATCTCAAGAGCGTGATCCATCCGAAGCAGATCTGAAGCCTGTACTTCCCCCCTCTAAGTATTATTTTTTGAAACTCTATAGCACGGCCTGTCAGTTTAACGAGGCAAAGAACTGGAACTTTTGAACCACTCGCGCCATTCCCTCGTCCGGCGGTTCTTCTTTCCACGAATCAAACAAAAACGAACAAGCGGCATTTTATTGCGTCTCTAGATGCACGAAAGCTTCGTAATTTAGTGCAGCTAGTTCGATTACTAGTGATTAATTGCAGGCGGTAAGTCTGACGTCATTGGGATAATATTGCAAATGTCCTAATTTCGTCACATGCGTTCTTGTGCATTTACAACAATGTCTCTGTAAGTAGGGCACTGTTGATAATATTGTCGTTTTAGACGTTGTCATGCACTGAGATTTCACTCTGACCTAAATCGTTCGTTGTCCCTTGAATGGCCTTGTCGTCGTGTCCGAGCACATGCCGAGGAGGCGGCGTCGTTCAAGCGTGGCGCAGCGGCTTCTATCGGTCGGACAGAAGCAGCTCAGCCAAAGAAATAACGCATGTCGATGTTAACAAAATAAGTTTAATGAACAGTCTTAATACAGCAGCAAGGGAGCTACATCCAGTCTCGTTCCTGCTGGCCCCACCTGTGTCGAGGAAAAGCAAGTTATTGCTCGCAAAGCGGTTAGCAGTGGATATTCCCAAACAGCGTCGTTTATTTCCTGGGGGAAGCGTTGAGGCTTATTCGAGGCCCGGCTAGCACAGACCCAGATTCTATGCTGCCGTAGTACAGCGCGCAGATAAGGACGATTCTTATGAGCGGGATTTGTTGGGGCTTCCGTTGCGTCTCTTTCCAGACGGTAAATGAGCCCGCATCGGATCGGTGGACCGACAGGCTTCATTAGCGATAGCTCCAACCTGTTCCGTACGCTTGCTATGTGTTCTTACACTAGGAAACGAACAGAAAGAGGGCCGCATAGAAATGCTTGACTTGCTGAATAACAAAGCAAGCTTTTCCGCAATGGAAGATATAAATCTGATCACACATTAAAAGCTCAGACTCTTGCATTGTGTTCTGGTAAATTACCTCTGCAGCGCCTCCGACACCTGCGTATTACTATCATTGTCATAGACAAAAGATGGTGAGCTTGCACCCTTGAGTAAATTATTTAAGTAAACTGAAGAACATTTCATTCGGCACAGAAGCAGTATTGTAGGAAATAAGGTTTGCCATGTAATTTATTTCCCTTGACGAAGGTTATCGCCGAGACAGCTCGACAACATATTGTACACCCCGTGTCATTCTAGAACGTTCTTTCCCTCAATGTTTCGCTTTGACTTGAAAAAGTCGATGGAAGCGCCGTCTCTTGGCAGACCAAGTCACTGCATATCGGCAATAATGTGATTCTTTAGAAGCGCAGCATCAGTCGAGCAGTGGTGCAGTGCTCAACTCAGTCAAGTGAAGGATGGAATTCGAGTCGAGGAGCGTTTCAGGGGTGAGATAGGCGCTCCATAAATAAGGATATATGCACGATGCTCAATATTTACAGACTATGATAATCTCATTGCGAGGTCTGATGAATGCAATCTTTGTGGTGCATTGAACAGCTAAGCTTTTGGGACGTCGCCAATGATGCGTACAGCGCCTGCACCCGCAATGAAGTTGCGCAAGCGGAGGGCATTTTACATGACACTGCTTGCTAACTCCTATGCCGCCGGTGTTTACACAGCAACTAAGTGTAATTCGGAAAAGAGACTGTTTACAATGTTGTAATGCCAAGAGAAAGCGTTATCTCCGACAGGTGGGCCCGCATTCACAACGCTTTTCCCAAATCATGCTTCCGTACTTTCCACTCAGCGTTTAGCAAATTCAGGCGACGTTCAAGATTCACTGTAGAACGTGTGAGAAAGTCTCGCATCCGCTTTTCTTTTTGCGGTTGCTCGAAAGTTTTTGCAGGTGTAGATTCATTTCTGAGCAAAGAAGGGAAATAAACCCTGTTATTTAAACGATTCCACGAGGGTTGTGTAGTTTTCTTCTTCGAATTTTTTTTACGTCCCGGAGTTCCTAGAATTCAGTTTTTGTCCATGTGAGGCGGCCTTCAGAGAAGTTCTTCTGAGGATTCCTGCATAACGAAAAAAATAGAGTAACTTTATTAGTGAATTATCAATCAATAAATCAATCAATCAATCAACCGATCAATGACAATTGAAGTCCCTGACATGGAGCTTTATACCACGGTTATAGCATATGAAGGCGGTCTTTCAGAAACAATTGGAACGATTTGTATCGCATTGGTTGAATCACTGCGTGCTTATTACTTAAAATACTTGTCTTGCGTTAAACAACACATTTCTAAACTTTCACGCACTTGAGCTATTACGGCAGTAAGCATCTCTTCACATTTATGACCGCTTAAAAGTGTGGCAGCTTGGGCTAGTTGGTATGGCATGACGATAGTTATAGCGCGAGAACAAAACGACGACACAGAGACCTTCGTGTCCTTCTTGTCTCTGTGTCGTCGTTTTGTCCTCGCGCTATAACTATCGTCAGGCCGCTTAAAGTCTCTGTGATCTTGGCTCCGTTCCTTCTTTTTCTAAGTATTTGTGCTGCGCTGTCTAAAATAGGTCTTCAAAGAAAATAAAGAACTGCCGAGTCTTTCATATGCTCGGGGGATCCGTGAGGAGGGTGAAAACTGCACACAGTGAAGTCAAGTGTTTGACAAAAGCTCGTTCGCTAGGCTGTAATCACGCTAAAAGGAAGGCCCGGCTCCTTACGGCAGCCGGAACATGCGTAATTTTAATGTGTCTTTTTTTCTTTTGGTTGGCGTCTTCCTTTTGCCTTTTGACCATTGCAGGATTGTCTTGGCAATTTACACGAGAGAAATTGAAAGGAACCCAGAGGTGGAGAGAAATACCTAGCTGTAGTATACTTGTCTGATAAGACATCTTTGTATGTTCGTACTAAAAGGTACACTGCCGTATCAACTCCTTGTGCGCTCTTTGTGGTGTCGTCGCTTAGCCAGCACCCCAATATTTTATTCAACATTTATTTGTTCATTTTTCAATATTAGGGCACATAAAGGTGTTACAGAGGGGGTGGGTATTACAAAGACAAGAAGAAACACAACAAAATTGAACATACAAGTACAGCGAACTAGCGAAAAATCCGCACACATCTCCCTGTACAGAGAACACCGAGTAGTATGCGAAGCAGCCATGGGTCGACCTAGAGTTCTGTAAAAAGGTGCCCTCTGTTCATTACCGCAGACGTTCGTGGTTGTGCACACAGCCGCTTCGCGAGCCCTAGCCTCCGGCGCACTCATGCCTTCGTTCATAGTACTGCGCTGTGTCAATGAGGAAGAGTGGTAAGCGCTTTTGTTGTACAGAGCAGAGCAGCGCTTCTAGTGGTGTCGACTCATACCGGAGCACGAACCGGAGTGGAGCGAGCGCTCTACCTCAGAGCGATCTACTGGTTGCTCCGAGTACTGGCGTGGCTACGACCACGGACAAGGTACAAGCCCTGACCACAAGCAGCTTCTCATCTAAAATACAACAAAACTAAGCTATCATAGGCTCAAGGCATAATTGATTAGTGCAGCCTTGATTGATGAAGCGTCCTCGATGCAGGCGATAGAGGTAGGAAGGCGGTTCCACTCGGCGCTGGCTGTAGATGAGACACAGCTATGGTCCACCCACCGCTACCGCTAGTACCACCTCTCTCTGCTGCGCATGCGCCAGACACAGAGTGTCACAGCTGTGCCTGGCTCTGTTCCTTCGCGCCGGTTTCGCTCGAGGTTTACCTGACGCTGCGCTATTGCTGCTTTAGGCGCCGCGGTAGCTCACCGGTATGAAATGGTCAGCGCCCCCTCCACTCCGCTCAAAGGGATCTACGTTTATGCGTGAACAATGAATGAAGAAGAAAGAGTATACGATCCGTGCACACAGAGCCCCTACGTGCACAGCGACGGGTGCGCCAGCCCACGGCCGTCAGAGCAGACAGCCATTGAGAACGCGAGCAGAACCAAATGCTCTCCTAAAGCCCGCTAGTTTATCGAAATTATGAACTGCTGAGTAGTAGATTGCACCGACAGGTACACGTAGTGTCCTCCGGGAACGACGTTTTACAGTTTCGTCCCTGCTTTATTGGGCAGCTGAATAAGTGGATCATGGTTGTGAGACGTAAAACAAAATCACAGAATATACACATATTGAATAATGCTGAGTGGGGCGAAGCTTCGGAGGGTTTTATCGGTAAACCGTGAATCGTCCGTCCGCTGGCAGCATCTGTCTGTCTGTCCGGACGGACTGGGCGTCTGTCTGCCTGTTCGTCCGTGTGTCCGTTCGTCCATCTAGTGAACACTCCAAGTACCACCACTTCGCATCTTTTCATCATATATTCATCATATACAAGTACCACCATCTAGCGGACATTCCGAGAACTAAACGGCAAGTAGCTACCTACAACTACATACATGGAGGATGCAGGATCCACGGTATAAAAAGCTTAGCCCCTAAACGTGTTTGGTTCCCGCTCCTTCTGCCGTCTGGGCCCCGCCGCGGTGATCTAGTGGCTAAGGTACTCGGCTGCTGATTCGCAGGTCGCGGGATCGAATCCCGGCTTCGGAGGCTGCATTTTCGATGGAGGAGAAAATGCCGTAAGCTTACGTGCTCAGATTTCGGTGCACGTTGAAGGTTGTTGAAATTTTCTGAGCCCTCCACTACGGCGTCTCTCATTATCATATGGTGGTTTTGAGACGTTAAACCCCACATATCCATAAAATCAGCCCTCTGCCGTCTCTCCCACGCCGCTGCATGTTTGAATCGGTCTCAGACACAACCTCTGCACGTGCAATGATCTTACTGCTGCCATAGAGCTGGTGTGAGAAGAAAGTTACGCAAGGCATTTTAATTCAGCTCAAAGCTTATGGAATACAGCAATGGACCTGAATAATTAGAAATTCCCTGCTTACTCTTCACAACTTTTGGGAATATCATGTGACGTCAATTAGTACTTTGCTGGGTTGATAGGACCATCAGTGGCGAACGGAGTTACGTAGCATCTTACCGTATAGACGCTTTTCCGCAGCTAGTTTTCTGGGCAAAACTAGATGACGCTACTGCACTGAAGCACCGTGGCCTGCTCCTCGGCGGCACTGCCACGATGTGGCGTGTGGCGGACGTTGCCCTGAAGCCTACGGCGAGAAACGGGTGGCTTAGACTATGCGGGCGCGGGCCAGCGTAGCAAAAAAATATGTCTCGTTATATACGCGGCCCTTTATTCGAAGACAAAAAAAGACGCGTCTCTCTGTCTCCCGTATCAGGGACACGGCTAAGGACCTACTCGTTAGCAGTTTGCCGAGCCGGTGCGCTGCCGGGCCATAGAGAAACACACTTACATAAAGAGTGCACACTCCCGTAGGGCCCTGGAGCCGGGCTACTGCGCTGCTTTCAGCGCCAAGAGTGGCTGTTCAGACCCAATAATGTCTTCAGCATAAATAAAATAACAAAATGTTACCTTTACGATGCTTGAATTTGAGCCCGTACCCTATAGAGTTTCGAAAGCGAGTGTTTTCAGCACTAGGTTACACATTCATGCTTCCGAGAAGGGAATACATGCAGAGTACTTCTCAATCAAGTGAATGGTCACCCTTTGTGCAAAACAAATGCACAAAGACTACACTTTCTAGTCAGACTTCACTGATTTTTGTAATAGAGCATTAAACGTCGTCAGCAGAACATGATATAGAGTGGACAGGGAAGATTGCACCTATGATTAAAATTCCTTTTTTGCGAGAAATTGACGCCAAGTTTTTGAAAAACATGTCTTGACAAATGAATACAAGTGAGCATGGGTACGCCATCTAGCGGTTGGTCAGACCCTTTCTTGCTCGGCCGCGAAAAGGCTCGAGTGGCTACTCTTTATATAATATATTTCTGTATAGCCGGGCGACGATGTGAGAGTATATGAAACAGCGGTGCTCACCGCACTGTATGCCATGGCAACATCTAACCTTAGAAACCGCTGCGCCCGTTTTGCTGGCCTTGAACCAGGGAGCGGCGGTGGTGAATCGGCCGGCCGTTGGCGGCGGTGTAAAAGAGTAGGCCATTAAATCACGTGATCAAACGTGGCAACGCCCGTTTGCCGCTGCGGAAAACGGTTTGTACACAGCTTCTCTACCAGCCGCGCTACGCCAACGCGGTTGGATCAAGTTTTGACTTTGATGTGTTGGTTGACACGCATTAAACTGGCGCAACCCACCTCAGAAGATCGGCCATGAAATTGGCGGTGCCCTGTTATATAAAGGAATTTGTTGATAATGTCAAATGATCAGCAATTGATCGTTTTCGAAAGAAGTAATTAGCTTAATTGACCAAAACACTAATTTTTATTGAACGTTAAGCTTCATTTAGGCAATCTTAGCATTTCATTCGTTTTGTCTCGCGTAGTAAATCGCATTCGTCATTGCAAATGCTCCATTGGCTATAACGCATGCTAGGAAGATATGATGCTGGGCGAGAAGTAGCAGAACTACCGGGTGAAAAACGAAACTTTGCCAATTTGCATGCTGCAGCGATGGTTGTGCGTTTCGAAAGCATAAAAAATGGCAGCATCTCCACGGGGAGAATGATGGAGAGTGGGGTGAAGCATCCGTCCGTCCATTCGTTCTTGCTTCCGTCCGTCCATGTGTTCGTCTGTTTGACCGTCCGTGCGTCCATCCGCCCGCCCGTGCGTGCGTCTGTTCGTGCGTCCGTGCGTCCATCCCTGCGTTCGTCCATGCATCCGCCCCTGCGTCCATCCATCCGTCCGTGCAGCCATCCGCGCGCCGGTCCATGCATCTGTCTGTGTGTCCGTTCTTCCATCTAGTCAACAGTCCAAGTACCACTATCTCGCGTCTATTCATCGTATATTCCGCATATAGAAGCACCGCCATCCAGCGTACATTTCAAGGACTAAACGAGAGGTGGCACACGCACACTTTTTTACGGCTTGCGCTTCGTGTCTACTTCCCGCCTTTAACCAACTCGAGTTCATGGTATATACTAGTTCATTGTATTTATGACACTACAGTCCAGTGCTCGATAAACCTTTCTAAAACCAAGGAGGTTACGCCCAGTGAGTATA